TCTCATAAAATTTTTTTTAATATTTATTTTTTCATTCACAAAATTCAATTTCATAATCTTATACAAAAAAAATTGAATTCATTTTACTTGAATTAGTAAGTTATTAATAATTTTTTATTTTATTAATAAATACTGCTGTGATGAAAAAAAACTGCTGATATAACTAATAAAATGAGAAAAAAATTATTGATATGACATGCTGTAATTAATTAAAAATACCGCTAACGTAATATCCGTAAAATACAGCAGACTTTGTTTGAGAGAGAATAGCGCAGCGGCATTTCCTTTGATCCGTGATGGGGAATAGCGTCACCGTGGCGTCGGACAAGTTTTGTTCCTTAATTTGGGTTGTGTTTGTAAAAATAAATTTTTTCTTTCTAAAAATATTGTCTCTTGTCCCCACTCTATTTGCCACCTGCCACTTGATTTCACCGAACTTTGTTGGATCTCATCTGGTTATCTTCTAGATTTTTCTAATTTGAGACAATGACAATCAATTATATGGTCATAAACTCATAATTTGTTTTGATTTTAATCTTTATTGACTTGTATAGAAAGTTCTAGAATTAGTCATTGATTTCAATCAACTTCAGAAATAGTCGTGTGGAAATCATCTACTTAATTACCCAATTCATTCAAGAGAGATACGACTTTTTTTTTTTTTTTTATAGTAAAAAAAGATAATTATTTGATGCGCAAGCACGTGCCATTAACTAATTCAAATTTTTTTTTTTATTAATCTGCGGTGGCATATTTTTCTTCTTCATCCTTACACAACCATTTGAATTTTCAACTAATTTTAGAATTAAGGTTTGTATAGGCATATTAGTTTTTTTTTTTTAAAGAACATTTGATGATATATCACAAAGAGAGAATATATCACAAATAGAGAATATTCTTTTTATTTTTTTTAATTTTTCTCTTTTTTATCTTTAAAATTTAAAGTTAATATCGGTTAATTTTAAATTTTAAACTTTTAAGACATTCCCAAAATGGTAGGCATGTTAGTGATGATGAACCTTAAACATAATGGCAAAGATTAAAAAACCTAGTAAATCACAAGAATCGAATCAAATCAAGGAAACTTTCTTGAAGCCCAATATTTGCTTCGGTTTATCTACTTAACGGGTTCATCTAGAACTAGAAGACTAGAAGCCCTCTCTTTGTTCCGCCGAAAACTTGAAGCCCAATATTCGTCCAGCCCAGTACACCTAAAGATTAATTTCCTTCGTGTAACATTTTCGAAAGGAAATTGGAATGGAAAGACCGAAGGAAGGAGCGATCATCTAACGAAATTTTCGAAATGAAATTTCGGCACCAGAGACGATGCTATTGCCGCCACAATCTGTTGATCGCCGGAAGGAAGCAATATAGTCCGGCTTGGTTGGTCGCTGTACGGTGTCCTAAGTTCCGTCTTCCTCACTCACTCAGTTAGTGTGGTTCCTCTCTTCTTTACTGCGTTCCCGCTTCTCTTCCAGCTCTCGATCTCGGTTCATCCTAACTCTTTACCTATGCATATGCATTTGTGCTTTTCTAAAGAAAGAAAATAGTCGATTGAGTTTGGATTTTGATTTTTTTTTTGTTTTTTTTTTTGTTTTAGTTCTGTTGCTTCTGCTGGTGCTGGGTTTTCAGGGATTCTGTAGGAGGCTCCTTGGAATCATGCATTGGTTTAGCTTTTGTTTTCTTCAATATAATCTTAATCTGGGGTGTTTATGCTGTTATTATTCGAATAGATGCTCGTGTTTCCGTTATTATTTTGTTTTGATTGTTGAGTAGAATCAGAATTTGTTTCTTTTTTGGGTAAATTAGCTTGTTCATGATGGCGATTTTTGATTCGTTTGCAGCAATTTTTTGGTTTAGGGACATTATGTTCAATGCGGAAGTTATATTACTAAATCATTGGTTTGTGTAGGTTGTTCTTTTTTCGCTGAATTTGCCTTCTGGGAAACCTGTGATTGCTTGATGCATAGTTACATACACATAATTCATTTGTTACATTAGCAATATTGCTACTAACGGCATCATCATGTTTAGGGATGCTGGTTAAATGGCACTTGAATCTTCTTCTCCATGCAAATTTTATGATAGTGCTGTCAAGGAAGTTGTATAGTCCAGTTTATGGTTCTTCTTATTTTCACCTATTACACAAAACTGTAATGTGGAAACTAAGAAAGATGAAAGTAAGAATATTATGTATGCTGCCAATCTGATTGCCTTTTGGGAAGTGCAAAAGTTTCCTCAATGATTTCGTTCATAATATGGATTCCTCCTTTTTTTTTCTTAATGTTGTTTTCTTTCTCAGATTGCTCTATTGCAGCACGGGGTTGGATACTGTAAAAGCCGATGATTTTTAAATGTTATTACACAGGCCAGAAAAATCATGGTTCATCCTCTTTGCTTGAAGCTTCTTAGTTCGTGGGTGCATCACACTGTAAGTCTTAAATTCGTTATACTCGATATATGTCAATGTTGCTGTTGGTGCTATTGATTGCATGATTGTTAAGAATAGAGTTGATATTCAAAGGCCTAGATAGATAAGTTTAGTACAAATCTTCAATACATATATTGTGACTAGTGTCTAAGAATGCTTCCTTTTCATTTTTCTTTTCTTTGGTTTGTTTATGCTGGCTGCACTAATATGCAGTTGCTGGGAGGATTTAGGTCAGAAGTAGGCGATTGGACTTAGAACTTAGTGCCCCATTGTAGTCAGTTTTGAAACAACATATGTTGCAACTTGAAATGTCGTTCCTTTTCTTTTTCTGGCAAAAAACAAAGGCAACTTGCAATGTTCATATCCTGAAACTTCTAACTTTTTATATGCAAAAATGATTTAAAGAACTCTAATATAGGTTCTAATTATAACCTTTAGAAATGGATTAATATTGATTTTACATTTTAGGTTGAGAGAATCTGAATTTGGAACTTTTGTAGGACAAGTATCAATAGAACATGAAGATGGAAATATTGTAAGGCAACCTTTTATTCAGAACCACACATTTTCGTAGTCATAAGATAAACAAGACACAACAAACTTACACATAGCATCCACCTCAATCACACAAAGAGCCAAACTTGATCGACATGCATATGAAAATTAGAAAAACAACACAACCATTGCACTTAGCCAGAGATTTCAACGGACTTAACCTCCGGCTTCTTCTTCTCCTCCTCCTTGGGAACAGTCACCGTGAGCACACCATCCTCCATGCTAGCCTTCACCTGATCTATCTTAGCATTCTCAGGCAACCTGAACCTCCTCAAAAATTTGCCACTGCTCCTCTCAATGCGATGCCACATGTCATTCTTTTCTTCTTGCTCTCTGCTCCTCTCTCCACTAATCTGAAGAATCCTCCCTTCTTCAACCTCCACTTTCACCTCCTCCTTCTTCAACCCTGGAAGGTCTGCCTTGAAGATGTGAGCTTCAGGCGTTTCCTTCCAGTCAATCCTGGCATTGGCAAAAGCAGAGGTTTCACGGGCTGAAGAGGGGACATTGGCAAGGGCAGAGGTGAAGAAGCCATCATAGGGATCCCAAATGTCTAGAGAAAATGGGTCGAAGACATTAGTCCTCCGACCACCAAGAAGGCTAGGAATAAGTGACATTGTTGGAAAATTGGGATGTTTTCTGAAAGCAACTAAAGATTGATAAGAATTTAATTGAGTTCTCGACGATGGAAATGGAAGGTGGTGAGATGCTATTTATGGAAAGGGTAGAGGGTTCTAGGGGTGCAGGGTTCTGGCAGCTTCAAGGCGCTTCCTTTATCATGCAACTAACTTTAGAGATATAATAATTGAATTAATACTCCGGGGTATAAGATTCTTGTTCTTCTATCATCTTCTACATTCTTCACCTCCATTCCCGTTGATTCTAGGTGAAACCCAAGGAAATAATTGTGTTGGGACCATTTAATTTCTCCTTCTAGATGTTGGTTTGGATCAAAATGGGTACGGCCCATATACCACTAATCTCCCCCCATTTCTTGATTTATGAGTTAGGCTAAAAGTCAGGCAGGCCCACATTACATAGTTGGGCTTGATCGCTTGAATTAGTCTGAAGCTTTTCGAGATGTGGGTTTGCCACTATCTTACTAATTGGGGTTCAATTCAGTAAATTATTCTGACTCTGCTCTGTATATGGGTTTGGGTTTAAATGGGTTCTGTCTATGTGCCAGTAGTACTTGGGCCGTTATCCATGGAGTCAAGCTCCCACTACAAACTCCATATCCTAACCCTTTTTTTTTTGTTTTTTTAAAATTTTGGTGCCCTTAATCAATTAATTAAAATGTTTCTCACCTTTGCCCTAAAAAAAAATATTTTTGGACTTGAGGAACATTTGTTTGGGCTCCAAAGGGAAAAAGAAAAAAGAGCAGTTTTACTGCAGCTTAAGACTCTTAACCGTTCACGTAACAAACTTCTTATAAAAAATTTGGAAATTTGGAATCCAATTGATGGTTACTTGTAAGATTCTACTTTTTCCTTCCATATTCTTTGCTTACGATTACAATCCATGTGGGTTCTTGAAAACTACTTCAATATTTTTTCAGTGAAGGCTCCAACTTAAGATCTTAATCTTTCTCTAAATCATCATTGTGTACTGTATATTCTCAACCAATGAACTGGTAGCTAGAGCGTATGTCTCCCGTCACCAGAAGATGTCAAAATATCTTCCCAAGTTGCTATAAGAATGAGTTTTCTTATATTGACTTTCTTAATAGCTTAGTCAATATATATAAATTTAATATGAATCAATCAATTAATGATCAATCAATTCTGCCCTTGAAACCAATTTGTTCATGGAATTTTAGCTTATTCTGTCCCTTTCATTTTAATCATGATAAGAAAAATCAAGTGTACTATTTCTTGGAAGAACTATATACGTATTGACTCACAATTAGAAGAAAAAAATCAGGAAGTTCTCACAAACAATGCCGTACAAGGGGTCGTTACCAGTTTTCTTGATTTTAACAATGTTTTGACAATTTATATAACAACAGTTTTACAAATTAGTGAATTATTATAATAATGTTCCTGTTACTTTCATGTAGTATGATTAATTTACAGCAAGAATTTCTGCAAAAACCCGGTTATATATATATATATAATAGACAGATCATGTTACATTTATATATATTGATATAAAATAACAATTACTGCTATAATTCCCCCGCTTATGTAATCAATAGTCAACTTGCAATATCTAATTAAAAATTTTTAATTTTCTTCATCAGGTTCTACTTGTAACAAATACGACCTTATTTAAACTAACTATAATAAAAGTAAAAGAATTTAATTAACGCATGCATTGGGTATGTTGGATATAAGTTTGATCAACTAGATATAATATAACACACTAAAATTGACTGGGAATGCATACACAATAAATTTCATCCAACAACTAAGAATTTGTAATACATGCCTGAAAATTAACCTTTTGATTTGACTGGGGAGAACAAGTATGAATTGAATGTCCCCATGGTTGGCATGCATTCTCATCTTTTTCCTTGAATCTTAGATCACGTTTTGGAGAAAATCTTTTGTATCAGAATTGGTACTTAATTAAATTAAGTAATGTTTTCTTTTTTCTTTTTTTCTTTTTTTTTTTTTTTGATTAGGGCGAGTGGTTCGGGGAGAAGATGAAGAGGGGAGTCGAACCCTTATCATGATAAAAAAAGTTTATATTAAACTATTAAATCATTAAATCGACAAGAAGATCAAACTTTTGTCATGATGAAAAAAATTTACATTAAACTGTTAACAACTAGCCGGCATGTCTTCTTCAAATTAAGTACTGTTACGCAACGCGTTTATGTATTTCTTTTTTTAAATAAAAACCATGTATTATGTATAGTTGACACGGATGGTAGGCAGAATGTCACCATCCCTAAGCGTACACGTCCTTCAATTATCTTAATATATATTTGGAAAAGTAGAAAGGCTATGTTTGACTACATCCAACGTACGTATCTTTTTGTTTAATTTTTATTGAAGGGGGTCTAAAATTCAGTCCAAAGTTTAAGTTATCAATATCATGTGGAAAAAGCCCAAGAATAGTATCAGGTTCCCTGCATGTACGTTATGTGAAGTCTTGCTTGCTTAATATTAAAGCATGGACTTCTTCAAAGTAGAAAAGCTAAGAGGTGTGATACTGTTTAGAGCATGGCCAAAGGGTATTTTTCCTTCATCGGCAGCATAGATATTGGAATTGCATAAAGGGATGGTACAAAGAGGAGGCCCTTTTTTTTGTTCAACAGGCATTAATTCTTTGCGCACCATTGGGTATGGAAATTCCATCTGTTATTGGAGAGTGGAAATAATAATCACAATATTCCACTGCCATAACTGTACAAATGGAACCTTGTTTTTATAGCGTGAGAATAGCTGCCCAATTTCTATTTGATGTGATTTGGAATTTGAGTCAAATAAAACCCATTAGGGTTGCCACCCCTACTCTTGAAATTGGAGTTTTACTCAGTACTTAAGAATAAGATAGTTTGTAAGGACTCATAGAATTAGTCACATATTATTCAAAAAAAAAAAAAAGAAAGAAAAAGAAAAAAAGGGATGATGTACCTAGGTCATATTAATTGATTTGAAAATATCATCACTGAGTGATGGGGGTTACCCATTCTAAGGGCCAAAAGGGGGATACTATGACATTTCATTCTCATGTGGGGAAGACTTGTAATAATAATAATTTAATAATAAGTATCCTAAAAGCCTTCTCAGTATGAACTAAAGAAAAAACTTGTCAATATTTATTCTGCTCACTTGAACTATAATCATGGAGAGATGGCAATAATAGAGTAGGCTTCATTGTCATATCCTACCAGAAATGTGAATGAACAAGTTAGTTCTTATATCTCCATCTAAAGTAATGGTTTAAGTGTAAAGGAAATGGTTCTTGAAATTTAGTCCCACAAGCATTAAATGCAAGTGCAGTACATTTCAACAAATTATTTTACGTATATATAATTGATCATTCAATTGATTTAAATGCTATGATCATTACATTGCTAATTTATTTACCATTATTAATTTCCTAGCTTTGATTATCGACCTAATTGCCTCTCACTTAGGCATGTGACATTGTTGGCTCAGAAACGTGCCCCTTCTGCTACCATCTGCATTTCTCTTCTTTATGTAATGTGAGCTTTATAATTGCTCTACCAACCGATATTTAGTCCCTTTCCCCTAATATATAAAGTTACAAAGCTTCATTCAACATTTGAGTTTAATATCTCTACTAAAAAAGGATATACATACTTAAGAGAAATTACTAATAACTAATTAGGCAGAGAAATTATTTGATGTTAATGCCTATATTGTCCGAAGACAACATGGTAGTATGATGAATTTAAAAAAGTATCATACTGTATATATAATACTTAGTGTAATCTTTTGGGCAACAATGGACAAAAGTGATACCATCCAAAAGTTGTGGAGCGGCTATGCATAAAGAAAAGCTCCTCAAACACGATGAATTTTGAACAATAAGTATGCCTGGCGGCTGGGGGCGATTGATTTTCTTTGATCCTTTGCGTCTCATGCTTTAAAGGGGAAAACATAGATTTGCCTGAGACACACATGTACTTTACACATCCTATGTTAATATTCTGAGAGAACGTCAAATGGATGTTACCTAACTTGTGTTGTTCCTTGAAATTTACAAGATTCTCTTGTGACCCAACTGCAAGTTACTTTTGAAAGAAAGGAGTGATCCTCACAGACCTATCAATTTTAGAAAGAAATACTGTTGTGCAGTTTGAGTTAAACTAAATTATACAATTAAAATCATTTGACTGTTTTGATTTCATAATTTAGTGTAGTCTAAACTGTAAAACATTAAACTCATTTTAAAATAACTTTTAGTAAAAGAACTGGGATGAATAAGTCGATCATGAATTTCAGTAGAAGATGGAGAATTTTGAATAAATAAAGAAAAAATTGAGCACCAGAAATTAACCCAATTACCAGGCATATGGTACAATAGGGTTTTTTTTTTTTATTTATTTATTCATTTATCAATCGATGAGTTAAGGGGTTGATTAGCATTTTTTATCAAAGAATTAATCCTTATTGCCTTATAGCCAAAGCCAGGTAAAGTATTGTAGAAAGCTAAAATTGCTAGAGTCTACAGAATCCATAAGGAAAATATAGTATTTGTTTTTCACTAAAATATATGAACTAGGAACAGTAAAGTTGATACTTGGTAAATCTATACCTTGCTTCAGTTTGTGCGTTGAAGTAATTCCTCAATAAAGGAAGGTTCCATATTGCAAGATTTCTTTTAGAAACCCTATATATGAAATTCAAAATTATGATTAAATATTCCTTTCTTCATTTAAAGCGTTCTTCGATTAGAAGTGAACTTGATCTAATAGTAATCAATAATTTAAGTAATTTAATGATAGTTTTATTTTAATAAAAATAAAAAAGTATCAAATTCAAATCACATGTCATGCAATGACATAGGTTAAAAATGAAAGATACTCATCTACTAGTGTGCAATTAAGATTAAAAAGAAGAAAAAGAAGGAATAAATAACAATAATTCATACTCTTTTTGTTTTAAAATTGTTATCCGTTTTTAAAATGACCTTTGTTCCCGCGGGGGGGTGGGGGTGGGGGTGGGGGAGATAACAGTATCTTGTAAAAAAAGAAAAAAATCTAAAGTAAAAGATAGAATGAAGTGAGATTCTAAAATTTTCAAATTTGATGACTTTAATTGAAAATAAAATTTACAATTTTTTTTTGTAATTTAGACAATATTCAACTACAAATGTGGTATATTGATGACAGTTTCTTTTGCATCAAAATGGTCAGAGATTGGAAACTCCTTAATAGACTCTCTAACCCAACCCGCTTTGCCTCAAACGCCTTGAGAAGTCTGTCGCTATCCATTGAACGTTACACGTCAAGAATGGATTTCTAAGCTTTTTCGTTTCGGGAATTATTAGACGAATGTTTTTTTTTTTATTTATTTATTAGAGCAAGTGATTCGGAGAGAAATCATGAAAAAAGTCGAACCCTTACCATGATAAAGAAGGATTATATTAAACTGTTGGACTACTAAACTCACGGGCTTTCTTCAAAAAAATCCTAATGTTAAGAAACTAATCCTATTTAACGATTTAATTAGTATATTTTAGATTACACGATATTAAAAAAAAATTAATTAATGTGTAAAATTAAAAATAAATGAAAAAAGAAGGCGGCAATGGTGGTGAACGACGGCGTTTGATGATTCAGACGCTGACCTCTGACCAGCAACAGTGTGAGCTTTGAATTGGCGCAAGATTTTTAGTCTTTGTTTTGCGCTCCGAATCGAACTCCCATTTCTACCCTCAACAATCCAACGGTTCACACCCCATCTCTGTCTTTATCGACAGTTCAGATCTCGCCGCTGGATCTTCAGCACTGTATTATACACGGAATCTGACCTGCCCCCCAAACAAAAAGTAATAATAATATAATCAATGATAGTTAATATAAATAAAAAAAATTTAATTTTTTTAAAATAAAATTTTAAATTTAAATATTATAAATAAAAAAATAAATATTAAAATAATATTTTCTTAAAAATTATATTTAATTTTAAATTAATTAAAATTTAATATAATTATTTGATGCGAAAAGATTAATATAATAATAATAATAATAGTATAAAATCTGACAGCTGCCCGTAATTGAGTCTCCTCTCCGTAACTGACACGGGCAGGTTTGGAACTTCCCTCCTTATTCGGGCAGCTCTAAGCTCTTACATCCTTCTCTCTCTAGACTTTTTGGTACGCTTCTCCCTCGTTTAAATGCTTCACCATAGATATGAACTTTTTGCCAAATTAAAAGGCCACCACCTCTGAGCCACCCCTACTGAAGGTGGCGGACGATAGCGGGAGAGCGTTTCGCCGACGACTGGGGTGTGAACTGAGAACTTTTAGAGATTAGAGAGACGAAGCAGATATAGAGACAGGGAAAAGGGGGAGATGGGTCAGGGGCTGAGTTGTGCGGTGAATCAGGAGAATGGGTTGTTCGGAGCAGTGCAAGGTGGGAACTTGGAGATTGTGAAGGTTATGTTAGAGAGAGACCCGAGTCTCTTGCATGAGAGTACCGTATATGATCATTACTCTGCTCTTCATATAGCTGCTGCTAATGGTCAGATCGAGGTGGGTTCTTTTGCTGGAGCCTTTTTGTTTGATTGAATCGGGGTGGTTGTGGTTAGTGTTTGCAGTTTTGGTTCGCCTTTTGAACTAAGGGGGTTTTGGGTTTTGGTCAAAATCTGGTCTTCTTCCTATTGTTTTTGGATGCATGGCATTCACATTGGATCGTATTTCGCTGAGATTTTTTTTTTCTTCTTTTTCTTGTTCTTCTTAGATTTTGTCTATGCTATTGGCACGATCTGTGAATCCAAATGTGGTGAATCGGCAGAAGCAGGTAAGCATTTTTCCCGGTTATAATGTTTGAGTTTGAAATGTGATGCTTGTGATCCTTTGATCCTTGTTGCTTTTGGCTCTATTTATGTAAAGGTTTTGTTGATTGGCTTTTGATTTTCTTCTCATCAATGTATTAGACTCCACTTATGTTGGCAGCAATGCGTGGGAAGATCACCTGCGTGAAGAAGCTCATCGAAGCAGGGGCAGATGTGAGTCAAATTGTCCTGTTCCCTGGGTTTTCTCTTTTATACTTTTACATTGGTAGAATTTATGTCAACTCATGAAGTTTGAATTATCTTTTGATTAAATGATCCTATAAATGCTTCTCAGATCCTAATGTTTGATTCCGGTAACGAAAGAACCTGCTTGCACTATGCTGCTTATTATGGTCATTCTGATTGCCTTCAAGCCATTCTTTCTGCTGCACAGTCTAGCTCTGTTGCCGTCTCATGGTGGGTTCTTTGGTCTTTGAATATTATTTTTTACCCATTTTTCAACCTCTTCACCAGTTTTTGATTAATATCATAAGTTGGGATTGAATTGGATTTCAGGGGATATGCGAGGTTTGTGAATATTAGGGATCGTAAGGGAGCGACCCCTTTGCACTTAGCTGCCCGTCAAAGGCAGCCTGAATGTGTACATATCCTCTTAGACAATGGTGCCCTTGTTTGTGCTTCAACGGGTAGAAATGGGTAATAATTTTAGAATTTATCCTATTCATTATTGGTTTTTGTTGTTTATTCATGTTAGATTGATAAATTGTTGCACAGCAGAAAGAAACTGACAAACTATCCATTTACAGCTTCCGAGGGAGCACTCCTCTTCATCTGGCAGCTAGAGGGGGATCTCTTGATTGCATCCGCAAGTTGCTGGCATGGGGCGCAGATCGGCGTCAACGAGATGCATCTGGGTATGGTTCAAGTCTGTTGATTTGAGTATCTGATTTATGATATGTGATTCTATCTTTCTTTCTTTCTTTCTTCTTCTTCTTCTTCTTTTTTTTTTTTCTGGACCGGAGATTAAAACAGATGGTCCCATTTAGGTGTCAGATGGAAATGAGATTAAATTTGGTTCCTTGCGTGTTTTCACCACACAAACTTTTGTCCTTTATAGGTTCATGGTAATTGATGCAGGCAACAAGATGATAAAGTTTTGAAATGAAAGCATTCAAAGGGATTTTTAAAATTTTCAAGCAATTCTAGACTTCTAGCATGCATCTTTTCCCCTTGTGAGCATTCCATAAACCATTGGCATGTTCAGCTTCCAAAATGAAGCCATGTCTTCGTCACATTTTTTAACAGGAGAATACCATATGTAGTTGCTTTAAAGCACCACCATGGAGAATGTGCAGCCTTGCTCAATCCTTCATCAGCAGAGCCTCTTGTCTGGCCATCACCTTTAAAGTTCATCAGTGAGCTTAATGAGGACGCAAAGGCACTATTAGAACAGGCACTGATGGAGGCTAATCGGGAAAGGGAAAATAATATCCTGAAGGGATTTCCTTGCTCACTCTCCTCACCCTCACATTCTGATTCTGGGATGGATGACAGTATTTCTAAGGTAATATTGTATTTCCTTTTCCATTTAATCTTACATTTAAATGATATGCCAGACTAGGAATTTTATTACCAATACTTGTTTGAACATTCAACACCAATTCCAAATCCATGTTTTTGTTCAATGTTGCTTTAGAACTCTATAATTCTTTTTGTTGCCTCTTGACTCAAGACCTTGACTATGAGTCCTTTATTGAATGTTTATCCTTGACCAAGCTACAACATTGAACTATTTTATCTTTTCTGGATATGCTTTGTTTTAGTGCTCACGTCAATGCTGAAAATTTCTAGCATGGCTGCTGGCTGTTTTTCAAACAAAAGCATGGTTTGCCCATTACCAATATTTTAGATTAGGGACTCTTGGTTAGCTGAATGATGCACTGAACTTTTGTGTTATTGGATGGTAAAAAAAGTCTATTTTCAGTTCACAATAATCAATTTTAGGCTTTGACCCAATTATTTTGTTATTAGTAGCCAGTATCCTTTTTTATCAAGTAATTTATACAGGACCACATCTTCTGTTATTCTCTGTAACTGTTTGTAGAAAGTGGATAGATTGGTGGAAATAATGGACTGATTGTCTAATTGGGAAACTATTTAATGCAGGCAAGCGATACCGAGCTATGTTGCATATGCTTTGAGCAGGTATGTAACATTGAAGTTCAGGACTGTGGCCATCAGATGTGTGCACAATGTACTCTGGCCCTCTGTTGCCACAACAAACCCAACCCAACAAATGCATCATTAACACCCCCACTATGTCCCTTTTGCCGAGGCACCATTGCCCGGTTGGTGGTGGCACCCAAGTTAAACACTGAAGATGATGCTGATCACGACATCAGTGACACTCATTCCGCAAAAGTGAGAAAAGCGAAAAGGTCTAGAAACTTGAGTGAGGGAAGTAGCAGCTTCAAGGGCTTATCTGCTGTAGGTTCATTCAGCAAGATGGCTGGTTGCGGCACTGGAAGGGTTGCTGCAGAAGATGAATTTGATAAGCCTTGATATGCTTCACAAGACTCCCAAGCACTGTCAGTGAAGGATCCTGTTCCTGTTGTCGAAAAGAGGATGAATCATCAAGCAATTAATCACCGTAGTCAGCCTTTCGGTTGGAATATGTAGGTAGAAACTCCATTTCATATTTAGACTGGGGGAATAAGCAAAAGAAGTTGCAAGGTTGCGTGGGTCATATTGTTTGTAATATTTTTCTCAACTTGAGGTTGAGGTAGCATTGGTCTTCATCTGTCTAATACCTAAACTGGTATTCGAGTGAGACAAGAGAAAGAAGAAAAAGAAATTCTTTTTGTTCTAAATAGTAAAATTGAAATTCTTGAAGGGTTGCTTCGCAATTCTCAGAATTGTCAAAACGGAATGGCTTTCGGCTCTGGGTGGGTCGGGTTCGGAGCAGGTTCTAATCCCCATCAATCACTTTCATTTGATGTGTGTACTGTTTGATGTTGGGGCTTAGGAGTGAGGTCCACGGTATTTTTTCTTATTATTTTCTTTTTTTTTTGGAAAAAATAAAAATAAAAGAAAAAATCATAAAATCTTGACAAATCAAAATTTTTATTAAGTTACCAATCACGTGGGTTTCAGTTTAAGATTCACGTTATAAATGGCATAATAGATGTCCTGGTGCGGGCACCCAAAATAAAAATATTTCTTTTTTCATTGGTCTTCTCTATTTTTTTAATTTTAAAACCTAAAAAAAACCGACTTAACAATAATGAAACTTCGAATGTAATTAGTATTATACTAATAAAAACAAGAGCATTGATATAAAATCGAATTTTTAAACTCAATGGTTCGACTCCAAGTCTTAAGTGCTTGGGTGAGGTGGTTGGAATTTCAAACTTTACTATCATCGTAAACTCCACCAAAAAACGATTTAATGGTCGTGCATCTCATTTGAGGGGATAAAATGTTTACTCGGTCTAAGAATCGAATCTCTAATTGTTAACAACTAATTCATACTAATTTCTTAACTATTAC